AAAACATATTTGATTCCAGCATTTTCTTGAAAACGTCCTTTCCACTTTTTGTAATTGAACATTTAAATTTCTTAATCCTTTAAAATTTTGATTATTAAGAATTTTTCAATGTTAATAATATTGAAGTGGAAAGAGTAATTTTGAAACGTAGGAAAGTCGTTTTCATGTAAATTGTATGACAAATTCAAATATGTTTTACATACATTTTATCGGATGAATAAGTAGTTATAGACTTATAGTTAATATGATTCAATAATTGGCAAAAGAATGATACTCTTGATCAGAAAAAAAATGTATTGCGATGTTCACATTTAGGTTCGTGGCGTTCGTGCACTTGCGGGAGCGGAGCCGTTCATCCTCATCTACACGAGCCGAAAGATCATATTTCACCTATTCTGGGCAATTCCTATGTATCTACAACAATTATTATTATTATGGAGTAAGGACACTGGCTATGGTGATATGTTATCACTGATAACAAGCGAACAGAACCTTAACAGCACGGTCCTAGGTAGCTAGGTCCTAGACACATAGTTGGATAGACCTATAAACTATAAAATTAGTTTAAAGGTCTATATAGTTGTTATACATCATATTTTATGATATTGGGTATTCATTAAGTAGGGAGGTCACATGCTCAACGAATACCAATTATTTTACACGTATTTCAATTTTCAATATATATAATATTAAAAAAGCAGTAGATAAATTTTTTTTTATTGATTTAACTGCTTCTATTTATATATTGATATGCAATTGATATAAATACTATACCTATTAAACATACAACATTAGTAGGTACCTACAGTTAGCCTACAAATTACAGTATTTGCGTATTTGTATAATTACTAACAAAATAAGTTGAATTTAAATATAATATAATAAATATATATTTTATTACATTATTTTACAAAACATATGTTATATGTATCAGCTTTTTTTTATAATATTTTTTTAGAGCGGATTAATATTTGTTAGTACATATATTCATTATATCTTTTTCAAATTTTGTAAATTACTTTTTTTCAGATCTATTTTAATATTTATTTTTTACAGTAACTATTCTTCAATTGAATATTTTAATAATGCAGTGATAGGTATGCTTAGTTCAAGTGTGTTGCAAAAGCATATAATATATTATAACCATCATAATATTCTTCTATGTTGATTAGGATATTTCAATCCACAAAAAAACTCCCTGCCAACTAAAAAAAAAAAAACATAAAAATAATTATTGCATTAAAATGTGTATTACCTATACAATTGAATATAAGTAATAATGCAAAATGAGTAAATTAATACATTCAGTAGTAAATAATCTCAATTTAATAGAAATGAATTATTTACCTAGGTATATTTATTTATTAATAAACCGAATTATTAAGCGATTATTTTAACCGAAATTAATCCAAATTTAGTTTACTTGGCCGGAAACAAATCTACTTTTTTAAACAATGTCTGCATTATTTATTATACTACATAATGCTTAACTATACAATTTTAGGCTGAATATTCCGGCCAAGTTAACTAAATTTGAATTAATTTCACCTAATATAATATTCATCTATTAAATAAATATAAATACTTAATTTCTATTAAATTTGGATTAATTTTTACCTGTTAAATGTATTTTAAACATTAGACTATTAACCAAAATTATACCATAAATTCTGCATTTTAAAGAAATTATTCTTATGTATTTTTTATTTTTTTACTTCGAATTTTTTTAATATGATTGAGTGTTTTTGTTGGAGTATTAATTGTTTTTTTTTTTTTTAATTATATTAAAAATATATAAAATTATGTTTTTATTTACTTTCAATCTCACGGTTAGTTTTGACTTTTTGATAAGATTTTTTTTTTGCATTGCTCAGCGTTTTTAGGATTTTAGTTATTATTTTGTACTTATATCATTATGGTAGCTAGGAAAATTGGCTAGCTCAGGATCATGTTTCAGATACCAATCCTGATTTCCATCAACACAAGAAACATTAAACAAGATTGCTAAGGGTGACCTTAGAAATGTGAATAGGCAGCTCTTGTTGGTGGTTTTGGTATATGTAACTAGTAGGCGACTTGATTTTCTATGGTTATCCTAAACCAATTTGTCACATTTATATTATTTGATTCTTATTTCTTAGTCACAAATTAGTTGGAATCAAACTACATTTTATTAGTTTTTGATCACAATTTACTTTAGAATTTTGATGATCAACCAAAATACAGGACCACTGGAGATAGAAAATTCAAAATCTTAATATTTATTTCCATAATAAAATTAGGGTAATCATTAGGTATAGGTAAGTATATAATTTATAATTAATAGGCATCCATGCCATAAAATATTGACAGCTGATTTAAAAAATATTTAAACTATATTATCTTCAAAACCAGTGAATGTGTCATTCTGTGAAGTTTAATATGATAGGTATACATTTTTTTCAATTAAGTACATTTCATCCACAATTGTTGAAACTTGATAACTTGTTTTCTATTGCAGGAGCTGTTATAAATTTTGAATTCAAAATATTGAAAATGCTTTCATTGTATCACATGGAACATCCAGACTCTACAACGATCTCTTTAGTGAACTATAATACAATGAGTAGATTAAAGAATGATCTCATAGATATATGTACCTATATACTCGTAATATTATTCCACAGTTGAGTGGTAATAATGTGATAATGTAATTAAGACTCACTGACACAGTACAAATAATTTTACTCCGATTAATTATTTTTTATTTTCTAATCGTGTTGATGTACAGACTGTAAGTTTTTCCAAAAATTATAAAAAAATATATTATTATTTTGTAATTTTGTAGGTATTATGTTGTAATTGAAAGGAGGATCGCAGACTGCAGTAAGGTAGTCGAGGGTTTTCTAACATTTAGAAATATGATGACATATGAATTATGAATATAAATTGGCTTAAACTTTTAGGCTAATTCAACGTTGTTTTAGAGAACAGTCCATTGTTCTGGTTTTGTCAAGAAATATTCATGACATCCAGAAGTAGAAACACCAGCTGTTATGAACACCAAATACTGAAATACCGCTAGCACTGAAAGGCAACATATTGAATGTAAGATTAATTTGAACCATGACCAGGTGATTAGGATTATAAAATGGGGGGGGGGGGGTGTAAATAATATATTTATTAAGGAGAAAAAAGTCATTAGGGGAAGGGGTTAAAAACCCTTATTAAACCACTGATCATGATGCTTTTTAACATATTTTTTTAAAATAAAATAGAATCGGTACCTATTGCAATAAGGTTTAATAACTAAAATGTTTGTCATGATGTGAACCTATTAAATATATAATTTTATTACCTTTTACAGTTTACAAATGGTACTATAAAATTATTATTTTTATATTTTATTTTATTAACATTTTAGGGTGAATACGAAATTATAAAACCATTTATTATAGACAATGGACGTAACAACTATAATATTATTTAATAGTTTTATTGTGTCTACATTTACATCGGTAGAGTGCGCACCGCTGTACTATGTTCGTAAAACAGTATTTACAGAACGATTTCGGTCGGGTTCTCATGTGTTACGTTTCACTGCGAACGCACGTATATATAATCGCAATCCACTCCACGCAGTCGGGGACTGGGCGCGGCGGCGAAACGTCAAATCGGCCGTATGGCTCACTGTGCGCTGACGCGTCATAGAACGGACGGGGGAGGGGGTTGGTTGTTTTGGCGGGTGTGTGTTGGTGTTCCCCAAGAACGCTCTGACATTCTTACCCCTCAGATAATCCATGCCTCACCGCTCTTCCTAAAGCCGTTCGATGCGCGCCACGTACTCGTTAGGATCTTAAAAAAAATTATAAAAAAAGGACTGCGTGGCGTGTGCACATGTACATGTCATGTAGCGTGCAAAATTGGTTCCATTGACTGTTCGCTCACTTCTCGAACTATAACGGGGTCCGAGAAATCGTACCAAGTTGTGTTCGTGGCAGGGCTGCAGTGGGAACTAGTTTCCAACGTTAGCTGTCGCAAACCTTTATTCCGTCTCCACCAAAATTTTTGAATTCAATTTCTTTTATTGCAATTCGTTATTTTTCAAATTAGTCAACAACATAAAAAAGTCACAAGTCAAACTGAAATATAATATAATCTATATATACATAAAAACAGGAATTACGGAAGTACCACTACCCCGCCATTGTGATATGTATGTATATAATCAAAATAATAAAAAATCAATTATTTTAAAGGTAAACACACATCATTAGGTTTGTGAATTCGAAGGAAAATGCATTCCTTTAAGCTTTATTGTGGACTATAACTATAAGATTGAATTACATACCGATGAATTCAATTTCAAATCTTTATTTAGTTCTATTTAATTGTTCGATTTTTTCATTTTTATAGTCTTTTTATTCAAATAATTTCTGTCAATATATAATGTGTTTTAGAATACTTTTTATGAATTATTATTTGATTTTAATTTTGAACATTTTTTCAGAAATTGTTGAGATTTTAATTCTCTTTTAGTGTTAGTAATCTGTTCACTGTTGTTTAGGCATTTACCTTTTTAGCACATTTAACTATAACCCATTTAGCACATCGCATAAATATATAGGTACAACTCTAATTACTTGCATTGTCTAATTTGTTTTTTACCCATGTAGATATAAGCTTACAGTCAAGTTGAACTAGAAATGGTAACCCACACTCTTAATTTAACAATCTCAAGTATTCGTATTTTTGTGCATGTAAAACAGATTTAATGAATGAAAAGTTATTTTCTCTTTGATTTTCTGTTTTTGAGACAAGTAGTGCTCTCGTAGTTTCGTTTATAGTAGAGTTGTAAAATGATCTACATAGGTGCTATCAGTGTTGATAAAGATTTGATCTATATGAACATAACTACATTAGAGAGTTATACCTATGTATGTGTATTATAATTTGTATAATATATTTGACGGAAAATTGTACAGAATATTATACAATATATTATTATGTCATTACGTATTTATTTTTTAGTAATACTTTAAATATAGCAAGTATAGTAGTAATAGTATATAATATGTATTAGGGTATTATTTTATAATAATGTTATGATATCGTGTCGTTCAGCGGCGATCGTCGTACGGCGGCGGTAGCGCTGCGGCGAACGGACTGCGGTCGATGCTCCCGGCGGACCGGCCGAACCGGACTTCCAGCCCGTCCACGTCCACGTCATAGTTGCGCCTGGGTATTTTGTTGTCGCCGGGCGTGTACACTTCGCCCCGGCCGAACCGGATGAAGTTGGAGTCCCGGCGGCCGAACCTGATGAAGTTGGAGTCGACGCGGCGGCCGACGGCCGACGACGGGTCCAGGCGCTTGGCAACCGCCGACGCGGATGGCGCCGTCCAACTGCAGCCGAACGCCCGCCCGAACCGCATGAAGTTCTTGTCCATGGCGCTGCGCCTAGTCAACGGGTCCACCGGCCGCAGGGCGAAACGCTTGTCCGCGGCCGCCGTGTCGCCCGTCCCGTCGGTGACCAACGCGGCCAACGTCAGCGTCACCGGCAACAGACACAAAAGCATTATTGCACCTGCGGACATAAAAAAAAAACGGACCAACCGAATAGATTATTTCAAAGGCTTATCGTTTCCAAGCTAACAAACTAATGACCCATTGAACTACTTTCCTATGTACTTTATAACCGAAACTACATTTTTAACTGAGCGAAATTATTGAATTACAGTGGTGAGTTTTTTTTATTTTTTTATTTGTGTGTCTGAAGACACGTCCTTTTCAAGTAGTAAAAATGCTCCAATCATCAATTTCGAAGGAGATTTCTGGTAGCAATTTTAATCTAAATTTGTACTTATAGGTAGAGTAAAAGTAGAATTTTTCAGTACTCTTTAAAATGATTGTTAGATAATCTGCTCTTTTCATAGTATACCATAATGTATTTGTTAATATTGAATTCAAATTGAATACACAACTTATTACTACGACCTATTCAATGGTGAGGTACACTCGATACCTAATGTTGCACGGAAAAGTAATTAAATATTGTATAGGTTTTTCTCTTCACTGTTCTTAATAAAATGTTAATCAAACCATTTTTGGTAAACCAAATCGTTATTTTAATAATGGAACATGCACTTTGAATTAAACTATAGGCCTATAATAATATCTTTACAGGGACTTATTAGTTTTTACACTCTAGTATCGGTGAAGTGGCCTCTAAGTAGGATTATTTTTTATCGAACATTTGCATAATATTAAAATCAAACCAAATTCAAAAAAACAAAGTAGCATAATTTAACACTAAATTTAAGAGGTTATAGATTGGTTTATTCTTTTATAACTTTTTTAATTAAAAAAGTGTAAAAAAGTCATAGAACCTTGAGGCAGCAACTTTACCCATCCTTCCCCCATAATATATGGATCTTCAGTGCTGTAATAATTTTTTTCCAATTGCCATATTTGATCAAGAGTGATATAGGTCTATTTAATGGTAATCATAATGTAATTTATACTTTGTATACATGTGTAATTTTTCCTTTTAAGACTTTTTTATCTTAATCTTTATAATTTACAAGACGCAATGAAGCCGATGAAACGTTATGCAAATATCATATTAATCAAATATTTCCAAATTCTTATACATTCCTCCAATTACTAAACAATGGTCAAAAATGATTAAGTGTGCTCAAAATTGTATTTTGGTGGCAACAGAAGGGCACTAGAACGAAAATGATTGATAAGCAATTTTGTCAATAAGACATCAGTGGTTATTGAAAACGCTTAAATACAGCCAAAATTAGCTTAATTGTTAAAAATAATTTTTGATGTAGAAAAATTGTTTTTTATAGATTTTTTTTATTCAAAACTTGTATCCGCTGAATATCCCACTATTTCTATAACTATTATGAGTACAATTATTCATAACGATTACTTCTTAAAAGTTTTCTTTAAAAACTTTTTTTTTGTAAAATTTGATTTGTAAAGGCCAAATAAAATTTTTAAGCGATTAGTTCTATAGTTTTACTATTAATATATTATATTATATTTTAATCATTGTTGAAGTGTTTAATATTTATACTTTATAGTTTTAAATTATTGATATTAAAATAGGCTTAACTGTTCAAAGTATACTCGCTTTGTTCGCCAACCTCCCGGATGTCTTACCTTAAATGCTTTTTATATTTCAATACTTAAATAACTTTAGTTGTAATTGTTTTTTTTTTAATTATTACTATACTACTATTATTTTGGTTGTCATGACAATATGTCATTATTCAGTGTCTTATAATTATTATTTATTATAAGACACTGAATAATATATTTAAAACGTTTTATGTACAATAGAAATGTTAAACAAATAAGAATTTAAAAAAAAAATTGTTTTACAGTTCAACTATAAATAAATAATAATTAATTAAGATAATTATTCATACAAATAACTGTAAACAAATATTTTTTGTTAAAAGAACAGCGTGTTTTTGTTTTTTGGTTGACCCTGTTTTCTACTTCTATTCACAAATATTTTTGTTTAATGTATCAGAGTTAGCTAGTGTAGTCAGAGTGTCACAATTGTTTATACTACTAAAAAGGCATAAAATTAATAGTACATAGTTTTCCTTTAAATGGACTAATATGTTGAGCATGTAACGTGTTAACCATTAAATTATAGTTTTTATTCGAGTTTGTTCTTGAAAATCGTAAAAAAAAACAGACCATATTCCTGTTATGAAATATTGTGCCAATACTGCCGTTTCCGTTTAAAAAGTATATTGTATATATTTTGTAATAGTACAGCTATAGACGACGATAGACGCCATTATGTAGTAAGTTGTCATAGTTGTAAATTAGAAATAACCTGATGGCATATAGCATACTTAGAACACTTTGTACTTAAACACATATTTTATTATCTTAATTAACAATTATTAACACATGTCCTGTCATTTCTAAAATACGCCCAATATATAATATACCATTTATGTCTTATAGGGTACACGATTTGCATGCCCAAATGTTATTATTTCTTTGTATTATATACGTAATTTTATTGAATACAGACAAACTAATTAAACTAAACATTATAAATTATTAACACAACTTTTAAAATATAAATATTATTCATAATGGGTATACTTTTAATTCAAACTTGACGTATCAAGTACCTATATAAATTATTTATTAATTTTATTATTTATAATAATTTATTGAACCTACTAAAATTGTAGTTTGTAAATTATCATCAAAAAAAAATATTATAAAATACATAACACAATTCAACTTATTATTATTATGAAAATTTATTAAGGTCAATTAATTTTTGTCATATTATAAATATGTATTTTTTAGTTTGATTAATTTTCTGAATTTTTTTTATTGGTAGATTAAAAATGAATGATCTTAAAGAATTACAGAATAATTTATATTCTTAAAAAATAAATGACTTAGATACATATTCATTAGGTATGCATTTTGTTAAAATCAGTTCACACCAAAAATGGTTAGATTTAGGTAGATTGTAAGTAATGGAGCAGATATTGTTCCTCTAATACAAATTATGGTTTATTGCTGTATAAATAGTTCTACATTTATTATTATGATTCATAATTCATAATTTCAGAATTTATGACAAATAATTGTTATAATGTTACGGATTAGCTGCTTTTTTGTGACTCGATTTCATGTCTACACTTTTCAGTCAGTATATTTATTGTCAATTTTGTTCTTTGGTTACTATGTATATTATACTCTGGGATAAAATTGTTATAATGCCTAGTTATTGTTTATTTGATTTTTGAATCAACTGCAGTACACAATATACCATAAAATAATAATACATAATAACCTTTCTGCTCAGTACTATAAAAATATGTGAGACTACTTACTACATAAGTACTTCGTAAATAATATTTTGACATACACCGCAAAATATCGAACAAATATCGTAGGCATGCCCTCGAAGGCTTTATTATATTATATAATATGTTGAACAGTTGTAGCGGGATAAGTGTTTTGTGTCAAATCTCTCTCCTTAAACTTTTGTAACCAGATCAAGATGCCGTAAACGTGTTAACGAACCACCTGTACATACCTAAATGTACGGCAGTCAAAAATAAAATAATAAAATATAATTTATATATATTGTTCACTATACGTACTCTAATACTATGCTATGCATTTTATTATATTTTATACGACTCAACAATAATATATTTAGCCACACAGGGGAGACCAGAAGTAACAAATGTTATGATTTTATATAATGATTATATAATATTTTTATTTTTAACAGTGTTGTTTTTTTATTTTGTGGCGTTTATCAAATTATTCAAAATGCAATCTTGAAAACAACTTATAAAAAAGATCAAGCACTCAAATATATAAGTTCAAAATGTATACATAACTTATGATGACTAATCCCGTTTCAGGGTTGGTTATCATACAATCTCGCGGTTAGTTGTTATTGGTAAATTAAATGATAAACAACACCAAAATATAACTTGTGGTATTTAATGTTAAATTTGTATTAAATTTAAAATTACTCAATGAAAATAAATTAAATCCATAAATAATGAACAACCAGTAAATAAAATGTAATAAATTTAAGTCATTTTTAGCTCAACCTTTTAAATACACAATATGGTAACAAACCTCATTCCACTAGTTGGTAACAAATTAACGGTTTGAGCTATCACTTATCTCATATTGTAATGTATTACAGTCGAAAAGCAGTAAACACACACCACAATATTCATCAATACACCAATAGATGTTTGTCGAGTTAAATAACTAAGTTTACATACAAATGGCCGATATTAAATGTAGGTAAGTACGTAAATAAGATTATACTCACAGACTAAAAATTCACATTTTACTCCTTAAATTTGCCATACGACTGTGTACAATCGGTAGCTCACCGAGATAATAAACTATTATTTTTAATCTTGACGATTAACTTTACTGTATCATTGGGTTTTAAAACGTTCCAAAATCAATACGATACACATATATAGCTAACACAACAAGTGTCTTCTATAGTTCCAGAGTTGTTAACATCACTGTGACAATACTAACCCCTATATATTGTGACTATATTACTATACAACCGACCCGGTCTCCCTGCACAGTCCCACTCATATTATATTTACATATACGCGCGATGACACATTTATTATTGTCGTTCGAGGGTTACGAGATTTCAATCACGGCGCGACACATCTCCGATCGGAATACGTGGTCTGTCAAAACTTATTAGTTCCGAGGCGTCTATTTGTGCAATTACCGTTGCGATATTACCGAATGAATAATGACCACCGTAATGCGACGAATTAATAACGACCACACAAAACCGGCGCGTTTACATTATTCCGTAGGTATACCGATAAACCTGGACCAGCTACCTAATATATATAGGGGTAGGTACCTATCTACCTATATTCCGGCCTACCCGCTCGTCGCCCGCCGCGGACGAGGAATTCGCCGCCTCCGCAACGTGAAAAACGACCCATCCCGCGGCGGAGGTATTTCGTTTTTTATAATTATTAAGAAAACAAAGACAAAGAAAAATGACGCGTTGGT